GTGCCGGTCTGAAGTTCTTGCAGTTTTATCTGTAAAACCGAGTTGGAGCTTGTACCTCCCAATATATAAGTATGGAGTGGAGTTTGCATCTGAAGAGAAACTTCGTGCTCCCAACAAGCTAGGTTAAGGGCGGCTTTCAGACACGCTTAACTCTGAGAACTGAGCATGTGGAGGGACGTTCTTTCATCTAGCAAAAAGGGAACGGGTTGCTGGAGAAACGCTTATTCTGGTTTCTCAGTCTTTTTCCTAGTGCCGGATTGAAGTTCCTGCAGTTTTCACTGTAAAACCGTGTTGGAGCTTGTACCTCCCCGTATATATGTATGGATTGGAGTTTGCAACTGAAGAGAAACTTTGTGTTCCCAACAAGCTAGTTGAAGGACGGCTTTCACACAAGCTTAACTCTAAGAACTGAGCATGTGGAGAGACGTTCGTTCATCTAGCACAAATGGTACGGGTTGCAGGAGAAACACTTACTCTGGTTTCTAAGTCTGTTTCCTAGAGCCGGTTTCAACTTCCTGCAGTTTTCACTGTAAATCCGATTTGGAGCTTGTACCTCCCCATTTATATGTATGGAGTGGAGTTTGAAACTGAACAGAAACTTTGTGTTCCCAACAAGCTAGGTGAAGGACGCCTGTCACACACGCTTAATTGTCAGAACTGAGCATGTGGAGATACGTTCGTTCATCTAGCATGGAGGAACGGGTAGCAGGAGAAACTGTTACTCTTCTTTCTCAGTCTGTTTCCTAGTGCCGGTTTGAAGTTCCTGCAGTTTTCACTGTAAAACCGAGTTGGAGCTTGTACCTCCCCATATATATGTATGGAGTGGAGTTTGCAACTGAAGAGAAACTTTGTGTTCCCAACAAGCTAAGTGAAGGACAGCTTTCACACATGCTTAACACTGAGAACTGAGCATATGGAGGGACGTTCGTTCATCTAGCACAAAGGGAACAGGTTGCCGGAGAAACAGTTACTCTGGTTTCTCAGTCTGTTTCCTAGTGCCGGTTTTCAGTTCCTGCATTTTTCAATGAAAAACTGACTTGGAATTAGTTCCTCCCCATAGATATGTACGTACTGTCATTTCCAACTAAGGAAATTTTATGTTCCCATAAAGCTTGGTGAAGGACGGCTTTCACACGCACTTATCCCTCTGAACAGAGCATGTGGAGAGACGTTCATTCATCTAGCACAAAGGGAATGTGTTGGAGGAGAAACACTTTTGTTTCTCATTCTGTTTCCTTGTTCCTTTTTGAAGTTCCTGCAGTTTGAACTGTTAAAAATATTTGGAGCATATACCTCCCCATAAATATTTATGTAGTCTGGTTTCTAACTGATAAGAATCTTTGTGTTCCCAACAAACTGTTTGAAGGACAGCTTTTACATACATTTATCTCTCAGAAATGAGCATGTGGAGAGACATTCGTTAATTCAGCACAGAGGGAATGAGTTGCAGGGGAAACACTTACACTGTTATCTCAGTCTGTTTCATAGTGCCTGTTTGAATTTACTGCAGATTTCAATTTAAAAACGAGTTGGAGCTATTGCCTCCCCATATATATGTATGTAGTGTAGTTACCAACCTAAAAGAAACTTTGTGTTCCCATCAGGCTAGGTTAAGGACGGCTTTCACACACACATATCTCTCAAAACTGAGCATGTGAATAGACGTTCGTTCATGTTGCATAAAGCCAACGGGATGCAGGGGAAAATTTTCTCTGGATTCTCAGGGTTTTTTTGTATTGCCTGTTTGAGTTTCCTGTAATTTTCACTGTAGAACAGTTTTGGAGCTAGTACCTCTTCATATACATTATGAAATGTTTTCTCCAACTCTAAAGAAACTTTGTGTTCCCAACAATCTATGTGAAGGTTGGCTTTCACACACAGTTACCTCTCAGAACTGAGCATGTGGAAAGCTCTTTTTTCATTTAGCACAAATGGAAATTCTTTCTGGAGAAACACTTTCTCTGGATTATCTGTGTGTTTCCTAGTGCCAGTTTGAATTTCATGCAGTTTTCACTGTAAATCTGAGTTTGAGCTAGGACCTCCCCATATATATATATGTAGTGTAATATACCTTTGAAAAGAAATTGTTCCCTACAAGCTACCGGAATGATCAGTTTCACACACACATATCTCCCAGAATTGAGCATGTGGTGATAAGTTCGTTCATTTAGCGTAAAGGGAATAGTTTGCTGTAGAAACAATTGTCTGGTTTCTCATGATGTTTCCTAGTGCCATTTTGAAGTTAATGCAATTTTCTCTGTGAAATCTAGTTGGAGCTAGTTCCTCCCCATATATATATATATATATATATATTTATGGTGTGTATTTCCCGACTCAATGGAATCTGTGTTTTCCCTACAAGCTAAGTGATAGATGGCTTTCACAAGCATTCAACTCTCAGAACGCAGCATGTGGAGAGGTGTTCTTTCATCTAGCATAAAGGGAATGGTTTGCTGTACAAATACCCACTCTTATTTCTCAGTAAGTTTCCTAGTGCCAGTTTGAAGTTCACGCAATTTTCACTGTAAAACCGAATTTGAGCTAGTACCTCTGCAGATATATATATATATATAGGGTAATTCCCATCTCAAAACAAACTGTATGTTCCCAACTAGCTGTGTGATTGATGTCTATGACTTATATTCTACTCTTACAATAGAGCATGTGTAGAGGCTTTCATACAGCTAGCATAAAGAAAATGGGGAGCAGTAGAATGAATTACTTTGATTTCTCAGTATGTTTACTAGTGCTGGTTTGAAGTTCATGCAGTTTTCACTGTAAAACCGAGTTTGAACCAGTATTTCCACATATATATTTGTTTACTGTAGTTCCCAGAAAAGAAACTGTGTGTTCCCAGCAAGCCTGGTGATTGATCGCTCTCATGCACACTTAATTCTCAGAATTGAACATTTGGTGAGACACTCATTCATCTAGCATATAGGAAATGGTTTGCAGTAGAAACACATACTCTGATTTCTCAGTATTTTTCCTGGTGCAGATTTGTAGATCATGCCGTTTTCACCGTAAAACCGAGATGGAACTCTCCCTACTCATATATATGTATGTATTGTAGTTCCGCACTCTAAAGAATATGTGTTTTCCCTACAAGCTAAGTGATAGATTGCTTCTGCACACATTCAGCCCTCAGAAATGATCATGTGGGGAGACGTTCTTTCATCAAGCATAAATGGAATATTTTGCAGTAGAAACACTTACTCGGGTTTCTATTATGTTTCCTATTAGGGGTTTGAGGTTCACGCAGTTTTGACTGTAAAACCAAGTTGTAGCTAGTACCTCCCCATATATATGTATGTATTGTGTCTTCCCACCGAAAAGAAACTGTGTGTTCCCAACAAGCTAGTTGATTGACGGCTATCATACACACTTTTCTCTCAGAATTGAGCATGTGGAGAGACGTTCGTTCATCTAGCATATAGGGAATTGGTAGCAGTTAAACACATACTCGGGTTTCTCATTATGTTTCCTTTGGCTGGTTTGCAGTTCATTCCGTTTTCATTGTAAAAGCGAGTTGGGACTTATACCTCCCCATATATACGTATGTAGAGTAGTTCCCCTCTCTAAAGGAAATATGTTTTCCCTACATGCTATGTGATAGATGGCTTTCACACACATTCAAATCTCAGAACTGAGCATGGGGTGATGTGTTATTTCATCTAGTATGAAGTGAATGGTTTGCAGTTGAAACACTTATCTGGTTTCTCCGTATGTTTCCTAGTGTCGGTTTTAAGTTCATTAAGTTTTCAGTGCAAAACCTAGTTGGAGCTAGTACCTCCCCATATATATATATATATATGTAGTGTATCTCCCCACTCAAAAGAAACTGTGTGTTCCCTACAAGCTGAGTGATATATGGCTTTTGCACACATTCACTCTCAGAACTGAGCATGTGAAGAAGCATTCGTTCATCTAGCATAAAGGGAACGAGTTACAGTAGAAACACTTACTCTGGTTTCTCAGCTTCTTTCCTC